ATAGATGCATCCCACTGCCAAAATACAGAAATCATACTTCATGATAGAATAAAATCAAACATTTTAAACACTGAACCTTCTTTGCATCTTGGTGAAGCTGATTTGGTGGATTACATTTTTCCTAGTAGGGAACTAAGGAACGGTTGAGTTCAAACATACTACTACATAATCTGCAATTAACCAGGAACCAGTGGAAAGATCAATGACTTTGGTGTTAAAAGAGTCAGTTGTAAATCTTAGCCTCTCTACTTTTCATTTACATGTCCTTGGGCAATATATATGTAAGAGAGTTTTTGCAAAACTATGTGGCGTATGATATCATACATTCACAAGGTTTTACCAATTACAAAGCACTTTTCAACACACTGTCTCCTCATACGGTCTTCCTTAGATTGAATTTTGCAAGGGTTAAATGAGATAATTCACATAAAGCACTTGAAGGGTGCCCCAGCATCGGAATAAGAATGCAATGAATGGCAGTTATTATTATTAGTTGTAGTAGTTTGACCCTAATGCCAATCCCCTGTGCTAGAGATTGTCATCTCCACATTGTCAGAGTTTAAAAAACTGCAGCCCAAGAGAAGCGAAGTGACTGGTCCAAAGTCACAGAGCTGGAAGATTAGAGCCTGGACTGGAGCTCATGCATGTTGTCCCTTTTCGAGTATATGTTCCAGGTACTATTTACAATGAGCATGAACAGAATCACAAGGAAGAGGGCTTTTTCCCTTTGAAGTGAAAGCCTAAGAGGATGCCCCACTATTGACTTTGCCACCCTTCTGGTCCTGGCCTCGTAGTGTCCCTGACCCCAAGAGCTCCTTCAATGCATCAGTATAGAGCAGAGGCTCTTAACTTTCACTGCACATAAGAATGCCCTGGGGAATTTTAAAAAGCACTGAGTCTCAGACCCCAGAGCAACCTAATTAAGTCAGAATGTCCTATAGGAGATTTCTTCCTCTTCCTCTCTAGCCACAGTGGGTATGCCTGAATCTGGAACTCAGGGTCAATTTCTCCAACTCCAAACACAGCAGCCTTTCTGCTGTGTGAACGCTCTCAGCCCCAAGAAGGGAGGCACCAATTACAAAATGGAAGGTGGCCAAAGAGGCGGATTGCCAGGAAAATGTAAGGGGTTTAGGGGACAAGGTGCCAGAGGAGGGGGTCAAACTAAACAGAATGAATTGAGATGCAGGTATTGGCTCGCTTTTCCAGACATAGATGAAGTGTGCAGCATGAATCATTCCCCTAAACTGTATACAACAACAACAAAAAAGAACTAGTATACTGGTTGACTGCATTGTGTCTTTGTGAAAATAGGGCAAGATCTGTAGGCATTGGCCTGCCATAGCGGCTCATGCCTGTAATCCCAGCACTTTGGGAAGCTGAGGCAAGCAAATCAACTGAGGCCAAGAGTTCGAGACCAGCCTGGCAAACACGGTGAAACCCCGTCTCTACTAAAAACACACAAATTAGCTGGGCATGGTGGTACGTGCCTATAATCCCAGCTACTCAGGAAGCTGAGGCAGGAGAGCACTTGAACCCTGGAGGCGGAGGTTGTAGTGAGCCAAGATTGCACCAGCCAGGGTGAAAGAGTAAGACACCAAAAAAAAAAAAAAAAAAAGAATCGATCCGCATGCCAGGTAACTCAAATAAAACTTCCTTGATAGTGATTACTCTTGAATGCAGATGTGTGCTTCTGAGGCTGCGAATGGGTGGTAAATGTTTTGTACTTCAAAAGGGCGTAACAGAAACCCTAGAGTCAGTCGAAATGTGAATGTCTAGTAGAATCCATTAACCAAAATATTTTTACTAGCCAAGCTAATGGATAGCCTCTTCAGCTCCAAATCCACCTATGAGAAATGCACGTCACTAAGGTCAAGTAATCCTGACAAACTGAGATCAGGTTTGCTCTCTAGATTACCATGAAATAGGAGGTCCGTTTTCACGATCTTCCATGACAATCCACGAAGCTCTCTCCTTATCTCCCATCCCCAAAAGCAGCAGTCACTGTTTCCGGCTGGCAGTGGGATCAAAACCACCGTCAAGAGATCAGAGGATCAGAGTGGCAAGCTCTGGTCAGAACAGCGAAGGCAGCTCTGGATATTAAGAGTCAAGTGTTCCAGAGGCCCAGGCTGCTAATGCCAGCAGCATCATCACTTCCTTTCAGAGCTGACTTTGGAGGTGGAACCCTCTTTCTTAATGTAATTTCTCCCCCAGATTTGGCAGCAAGTTCTCAAATTTTGTCTCAAGTGGGAAAAGTCCAGGTTATGTCACTGTTCAAAAAATATTTATTTCTTCCCTTTGCCAAAACCCAACAAGAAAACTCTACTCTGTCACCTCATGGATATGTTTCGACCTGCGTCCGGCCTCAGATGTGTGGGCCCTTTTTCAGGTCCTGCTTGGCTTCTGGGATCTG